AACAATTAAATGGGTTTTTGTCATTGAAATAGAAAACACGTTCTTCTTCTTTAGATAATTGTTTTCGTCGGTACAAAAGCCGACTCCAGAACTGCGTATGTTGTCCTCTGTCGACGTCAGTGAGTATCGCATGCAGGAATAAATGCATAAATCAATTTAGTTTTTACCTCCGTTTTGTATCTAATAATTTGATAATCCATCGCATCTGTGGTTATTTCTGCTGGGTGCTAGTGCTGTACTAGCTGTATTAGCCGTGACGGCAACGCAGCGTTATAAATGTACTATTACTCCTCATCAAGTACTGTACATACAGAATTGGATACTCAATGTCTACCCTTGAAGTGAATTAATAATCCAATATTGTTCACACTTTCGAATTCAAGACCCTACGATGGTGATCATCTTTGAAACTACTAAAAGTATAATAGATATTTTATTTTGAGGCAAATACACATCCGGCGTTTGATATACAAAATTTCCCTTACACAACGATATTCCATATATATATATATATATATATATATATACTTTAAAATTCTTAGGAAGAGGGTGTATCAGATTAATTTGGTTTTTACATGCTTGCATCGACTACAAGTGCTGTAACTGCAGAGATAATTTTTTTTTAATGTATAATTATAAGATTTTTTATAGCATCGATCCCTACCTTCTTGGTCTAAATGCTATGAACACACATTTTAACCACGCACTGTATTTCAAATTCGATTTAAAATACATTTAAACAGCCTGGAAGTCGTTTAGCTGGTTACCGATTTAATAAAAGTTGTAGTAAGATAATGCATTTGTTCATCTTTTGGGGGAAAAAATGTTTACAAATACAGTATTTTTGTTACATCTATGTTTAGATTATTCAGCTAACGAGCGTCATAGCGCCCTCGTTGGTATTATCATCGCAGCTATTTCAGTATGGCCTATTGATAATGACAAATAAATAAATAATATTGTTGTATTATACTGTTAAGTTTACTTGTATAATTGTCTATACTTTTTATTCGCTTATTAACATTATTAGAGCATTTTATACAAGGTTTGGTCTTAAAAGGATTTAAAGACAGTCATCACACAAAGAAACTTTTTCATCATTGATTAACGAATTTACTGGTTTAAACTACTCCGTTTACGATCCATCAAAGGAGCAAACCACCTATTCACAATAATCTACGTTAGTAGGTTATCCATGTCCGCGAACACTTGAAATAATTCGCCTAAATGGAATGGTCTGGCGCACATACAATTTACGACTTTATCTTTTATTTAGAATGAATTTTCAAATTATGATTAATATACTGGCATTCGATCGACATTGAAGCGATCACAATGCATTTGTTTGATGAACATTTTCAATGCGTTTCATTACTGTTTAAAAGCTACATCAACGTGCACAGCTGTGTTGTACAGAGCAACTCGTCGTACGTTTCTCTGTGTCTGGCCCCCTCCCCCTCTCTCTCTCTCTCTCTCTCTGCGTCTTGAAATTGTACATCGAAAGGGGTTCGAGTTACTTTTAACAATTCTAATTGATATTAATTTGTTGATTGATTGATTAACTGATTGATCGATTGACTGACTGACTGACTGACTGACGAATTGATTGATTGATTGATTGATTGATTGATGCTTATACATGTATGGGTAAACACGTGTAATATTTACGGTACTTCGGTCTTCTATCGTTTTCGTGATTGTTAAAATATTACTGTACTGTATTCAATATATTTTTTTTAAATCAAAAAGCATAATAGAGGCCTAATAATAATATAATATATTTATGCTTTATCATAGCGCGTAATAAACTTTTTGCATGCTTCTATACATCTAGCGTGTGTCGGTATCTATAATGAAATCCCAAGCGTATGCAAACATTTATGTTGTTGACCGACCGCTCAATCTATACTAATAAAAGGACAACATAAAGCATATAATCCGAAAAATAGATAGGGTGTATCGGAGGTTACTAACATAAATGTAATTTAGATGAGCTATTTTATCTACCGAAGTCGAAGCCATAATACCCAGAACAGGTCATGCAGGAGACATCTATAGATTTCTATGTCACATGACCAAGCTATTGCAATCGCAGAACGAACTCCTTCACAATGTTATGCCTTTGCAACATACACTTCGAGAAAAGAAACAATTCGTATACATTGCTAATCGAGTATAATTTCAAAATACATTGTATGGCAGTATTAGTGGGTCTAGTATTAACATTTCATCATCATCATCATCATCATCATCATCATCATCATCATCATCATCATCATTATCATCATCATCTTTAGTCATGGTGAAATGATGATGATAGCATGCTATGATGAAGATGTCCATGATGATGATAACAACAAGGATGATAACGATGATGATGAAGATATTAATGATGATGACGACAATAATGGTAACAAATGGGATGATAATGTTCATGATGCTAACAAACATAACGATAATGAAGATGATGGTAATTATGATAATCATAATTATTGATAATGATGATGTTGATGATGATGATAACCGTTAGAGTATGAGCAATTCTTTAGTGACAAACGTGTTATCTGTTGTCGGTAATATTTCGAAAACTTACTATAAAGATAATGAATAAGAATATGTCATATTTTGGTTTTCATGGCTATGAATTTTCAAAATGATGTTTGATCAGACAAGCCTATATCCGTTAACTTGCTTGGAATACATTTGTCGTTTCCCAAAGGCCTACTGTTTACATTGGTGTCATTTTTATTAGATCTATCCAGATTTCATTCATTTATTTCGGCAAAATTTTGAATCTTATCATCCATCTGACTCGTAGTTAATATGCCCTATGTTTCGTATCTACTTCTTATAAAACCGAATCTTCACTGACGACATGATTTTGATTTATGAGTTTATCGATTAATTAAGTATAATCTCTAGGAGCTCTGTATGTATTTCAACACGGTAAGTTTTAGCAAAGTAGCATAACGTAATTTTATTATTGCTTTGTGATTTAAGATTATTTTTTTATATTAATGAACCATTAAATATTAATTACTATTACGAAGTTATAACTACTGTAAATCAAATGTCTAGGTTTTACTCCTTGATATCATGTCAAGCGACAACCAGAAGTAAAGAAAATTATTTTTCTCTAGAGGGCGACATACAATAAAATCGCTCTCCCAAATGTTATGCTTTCAACTTCGGTACGGTAATATTTTGGCGTTCTTGTTGATGAATTTGTCACTTTTAAGCCACATATTGATTCAATAGTTCCTAAATTGTCCAAATATGTTAGCATATTTTATAGAGTACGCCACTAAGTTTACTCCATGCCATCTATAAAACATTTGTTGAAACCCTTATCAGCTATTGTAATATTATTTAGTTCAATAATTTTCCAGATTATAAATTTTTTTTCCAGATTATGTTAGTAAGATTATTACACTTCAGGAACAGGCAATACGTGCCATAAAGTGGACAGAGTATTGTGCCCCTCTTTTCCATAGATATGATTTACTCAAAATCAAGAACATTCACAATTATGAAATTGGTATAATTATGTCCTGAATGATGAACAATCCTGACTCGCGCTTATTAAATCTTAAACATTTTACTGATCGTAACACTCACAATTATTATAACACTAGAAGCAAAAATAATCTTAAACCTCCATTTCGTAAACTAACGTGTACCAGACACAGTGATGTTTTACGTCCTCATATTTGGAACAACATCAGTAATAACATTAAAGCTGTTAGCTCCATTCACGTGTTTGAAAAGTTATATAAATTAAATTTATATAAATTTAAACTCAATAATTACATTTCATTCGATTTTTGCAATTTTTCAATCTTTTCCTTCTTCCTTGCCCCTACCGACTACTCTTTAACTTAATTCTTTCTTGTTTTAAATTAATTTATTCACTTATTTTTGCATTTATTATATTTATTTATTTCCTTTATTGGCCTATTTATTTTATCTGTTTGCATGTGTGTTGTTGTTGAGTTTGTGTGTTTTTGGTATTTTGTATGCATGGCATTTATTTACTTATTCAAAATTTATCAGTTACCGGTATTGATCGATTCATGATTTGTCATTTTTGCATTTTAAACATTATAATGTTGTTATTTCGTACTTAGGACTCCTTGATTTACAAGCTCTTTTGAGTATTTGTTGTTGTTGTTTTGTTTTGTTTTTTGTTTTTAGTTTTTGTTTTTTTTTTGGGGTGGGGGGGGGTTTGTTTTGTTTTGTTTTGGGTTGTTATTTTCATCATTTTATATATTCATGACTTACCGTATCTGTTTATTTGATTGATTGATTGATTGGTGATTGATGAATAAATAAATTTGAAGTTTAAAAAAAATAATGACAGTGTTAATAATAATTAATAGCGATAATTATACAGTAATAGTGATTAGGCCTATATAAAAGTAGAATAAATTGATACTTACATTTAGTTGTTATTGATATTATCTTAGTACCCTAAATTATTTATAGTTCCATTGGTTTTGGCATTTTCATAATTATGATACTTTAGAATAACTTACATTATAATGGGTGTGGGTTAAAGACATGGGTTTCACTAGTGTTAGGCACTGCAAAGTTGTGCATAGTTTTTCTCGGAGGATTTTGTCTCGGTGGTTCAGATCCATAATGGGTTAGATTGGTAACAATTTCTCTGTTAACCTTGATCAATTTGAGATGCTCAATAGCGACATCAAATAGCCGCTAAGTTCTAATATCAGCCATAACTCTCATTATATTCTACATTTAAACCAGTTCGGTCCGTTCGGTCTAAAGAATGCTATGATGTGTCAAAAATACATTGGCACCATTAAAAGTAAATTCCAGCAGCTCGCTGTTGAATATACAGCAGAGAAAATCATCATATAGTACAGTAACCTTAGTAATAGTTCACATAGAATCAATTTTGGTTTTCTGCTACTGTATGATTTTTAGAGATTAGTAAATACATTAATGGCACCATTAAACTGGCTCCATACAGTAAACAATTTGTTGTACAGTATATCTTTTTATGTTGTATTGAACACAATAAAACACTTGAACTTGAACTTGGTGCAGAAATTCAATATGGTAACCAAGGGGCTGATAAAATTTGAAAATTATTATCATATCTCTCATAATACGGTAATGTTTACACGAAGTATACATTTTATAATACTATACCGTAATTATATATTACACGGTTTTTGGAGTAAAATAATACAGTCAAGTCATCAAATATCTAATACAGAAAATATGTTTTTTTTTATAGCAAAACCAAAACATTTATTTACACAAACAACATTTAAATAAGGTGAAACGATGTGACGTCACACAGTATAAATACCGCCATTATTGTTCATAAATAGAAAGCTGTTTTTTAACTGAATGACCTGTCTGTTTAATGGTATAACCTGAAACCTACGGTAACACTTTTCACCAGGAAAAGTTTAATCTATAAACGAATAAATATATACTATAGGCCTATGTCTTAAAATTTAGACAATATCTTCAAAACAGTAAACAAACACTGAATTGAATATTGTGAATCATAGAATGAGTTATGCCTATCTAACATCTAATTAGAAACAAATAATTAGAGTATATTTTATATATTACAGACTTCCTATAACAAAAAAAAACAATAAATTTCTATTTAAGTGTCAAGAAGAATTAAGAATAGTAGTCTGTTATTTATGCATATATTATCAAGCGAGGAAAAAATGGTCTCGTTCTAATTTTCAATCGAAAGCTAATAACTTGCTTAAATATACAATGTAAGCAACTTAAATGTTTTATTTTATTGTTTAAGTTAATTGCTTGACACAGACAATACATCTTCAATGATCACATAATGTCTACTGTGTTGTATACCTTGTTTCAAAGGCAATGAAATGCACACTATATGTTTACATCATAAGGATTGCTCATAGCAACTACTAAACGAACTTTGGAATGGATACCGGTACGTCCTAATGATAAGGCCCTGTAAAGGCTAGGCCTACAACGTAATTATGGATAGGCCAGTGTATTTAAGCAGCAATTAATAACATATCATCGACGAAAAGAGACCAGTAACATGATTCTGTATACTTGCTGATTATCATATTACTGATGCTTTTATTTGCAGAAATTAATATTTTCTCTCAACGAAAATGTATGTTTACAGCAATAGCACAAAAAGGTATACGGTATTATTGTCACTTGTCTGTACTCGAGGGACTACATGGTGTGTCTGTACATTTCAATGGCCCTATCTCCCTTTTCCATTTCATTCGTCTGTTTTGGAACCATATTTTGATTTGTCTTTCAGACAGTCCAAGTAAGCGGGAGATTTCCATTCGTCGTTTCTTGTTTAAATAGCGACTGAAGTGGAATTCTTTCTCAAGTTCAAAGGTTTGGTGACGGCTGTATGTCTGGCGCCCTCTACGCGGTGATGACCCTTGTTCTGAAAGTACAACGATATTTCCATTTTGTATTATGATAATATTATGATATAATATCAAATACATTACATTCTCGATTCAAGAATTCGATGATAAAGAAACCATAATAGCAAAAAAAATGTGGGTGCTCTTTTAACAAAACTCACAAACACTCTAGATCCTTTTGTTTGTTACCCGTACGGTTGAAATTGTTGGGTTGGTTCGATAAGGTCCTATGAAATCAATCATTAATCAAACAACTAAACAAGCAGTAAAGCAATCAACTAATCAATCAATCAAGCATCCAATCAGTCAATTAATTAATCAATAAATGAATCCAGTAGCCAACTAATCAATCAATCATTCAATCAAAATGTCAGATTCAAATCTCATTTATTGACCTGCAAATGAAACTGAATTGTTAGCAAATAAGCCTATGTTTTATGTTAGGATTAAGTAATTATATCACGTACAGTATAGAATAGCAAGTACATAAGCATTGTTTCATTTGAAATTCGTCATTTACATACTTCTATTCAGAAAAATCTGAAAATAAGGGCCTGGTCCTTTATGGTACTCTCAAGTTGGAAGGACATAACTTTTCCAAAAGTTAGTCATAGGCCTATGCACCGCGCCACTAAACTTTATGATTATCCATTTTATTAGTCTTGCCTAAACAAGCAGATTAACGGGATATAGTGTAGATAACCTCAATGGCAGAGGTAATGACGAATATGAATTAAATAGCCTAAAGTAATGTTCTCGTTATTCATTGAAATTCTGCTCTGAATTGAGGGCGTACTATACAGACTGTGCCTTGGGTTTGATATGAGATAAGTTTTTGAATTCTGATTTCTGAATTTGGAGCCCTAAAAGTTGTGTTTAATTAAAATGAAACTGTTTTTTCTACCTATGTATGTACGTATGATTGATGATTCTCGTCAAACACCTTGATTGATACTCTACGTTTTGCCAGATATGAGTTTGTCGCCTTAAAATTGATAACGTAAAAAAATTCGTTATTGTGTTTCGTGAGGTTAGAAACCTCTATAATAACGAACAACTGAAAAGACGATGTGACGGAATTAACGATGATTGATGTGCTGATGACTAAAAGTTGATGAGTACCTAGGAAAAATATGTAGTACAATATAAACATACACCTAGGCCGATGAACATTTCCGTGTTTAAAAGAGAATGCATCTTTCCAATTACTACTACTGTACAATAATGACTTGTTCTCATTTGCATCAATATCGGGGGTGCTCACCTTCCTTCCCTTTCAGTTTGCGAATGTTCATCCAATGTTTATTGTATTAGATATAGGTAAAGTAGAACCCCTCCTTTGGGACACCCCTATTCAGGGTACACACCTATTAAAGGGACATTTTTCAGTGTAACAAGGGCAATATATCTTTTAACACTATGGCCAACCTCTATTAAGGGGACGGGCACAATTTCTGAGTATGCCAAATGGTCAAATAACACTTACGATGGGGAAACTGTTTTCATTGTATCACAACAACACAGCAGTCTTACAATAACATAATTCATTCAACTTTATATTTTGAGACCCTTTAAGCAATGAACCAGAATTTTCTCTCTTGAATTCTTAAAGTGAACATCGGTAAAAGTCTTACTGCATGTATTACTCCGTACTCCGTATAAACCGATTTGGCAATTTTGACCCATAACCATGGGCATTTCTTTTTCTTTGTTTTCGTGTACTTTCATATAGGATTCTAATCTATACTACAAAAGGCACCCTTAAAATCTTTACTCTATTCAACCTACTATTCAATAAATAAAAAACTCAATATTTTAAAAATTAAAAAAAAGAATATTTGGTCAATAACTTTGTATCAGGAAATAAGATTGGGAACATATAAAATTATTGTTGTTTTAATTACATTTCTGCTGATTTCATATTATAAATAAGTTTTGCATTGCTAATTATTGCTATAAATTAGTTCTAATTCTACTGTAACTGAATCTTATTTCAATGAAAATAAAATTATAAAGAATGTATGTCATTTTTATATGACAACATGCCAATTTCACGTTTTTGGTTAGCGTCCTCTATTCAGGGTACACCCCAGGGACCCTTTTTTTAAAGTCCCGAAGGTGTCCCCTTAATAGGGGTTCTACCGTAGGAATAGGACTAGTTGATTTTTTTTCCCTTTTTTTTTTTGTTCAGTCATTTAAAAGCGCGTTGAGATGATATTTTATTATTATGTAGTGAGTTACCGGTATATAGAAATACAGGACCATTGACTATTCACCAGTATATAATAGTTCAAAAGTTATATAGCCTATATAATGTAGTTAAAAGGCAAATATACTGAAAAACAGCAATGCTGTGGGAAACAATGGCTGGATCTCGGTAGAGATACAAATTTGTTAAGCAACAGCTAAAAACGTAAATGTAAGTAAACAGCCAAAAATAGAACCAGAGCTTTCGGACAACAGGAGTCCTTCCTCGTGGCGAGTGAGTGAGTGAGGGTAGAAAAAGCCAGATAGTATAAAGTGAGAAATCATGATTGGAAATAATGCGCTAGGTGAGATATTACAGTGAGAGTGAATAAATAGCGTGAACAAAGAGTGAACAGGAAGGCCAAAATTAAATTTTTGAGGCACGCCTCTATAAATAAGCCAAATAATTTATACAGATAAATTTGGAATACCATTGGATTAATTTAGTGTGATGGGAGAACGTTCCTAAAATATTGAGTCCAAAATGTGTGGTGGTTTTAAGTAAAATTTCCCAGTGTTTCTCGTTATCCTTACGATTTTTGTCTCTCTAATATTGGCAATCATCCTGAAATTTGAGATTGAATAACCAGCTGAATTGAAATGTTGTGTCATTCTCATATGTATTTTTTGTTTCTCCGGCATATTGTTCACCACAAATACAATAGGGCCTATATTAGATAACATTTTCGGTGAGGCAATTAATTGATGTTCTTATCCGAAATATGTGGCTTGTTTGGTTTGCTCTTGAATGATTGTGTAAAATTAAGCAAGGAGCATGTTTTGCATGATGAACCTCACCTATATGTCACGAAAGTTAGGTGGTCTGGGATAGAAACATACCTAAAGACGTTCTGTGGTCTGTAGGATGGGCGCATATGTTTCTGAAATATAGCCCTTAGTGGTGGTAACCTAGGGTGATATATATATATATATATATATATATATATATATAAATAAATTGTGTTATTTATGACAAAGAAGTAGAAATATTAGCCAATGCACTGTTTTGTGAACAGCTTTTTGATAGGTAAATACAGTTTCGAATAAAGGACATATGGTACATTGTGTAGCACAACTCTCAACGAATGTTCTATGAATAATTAAACAAATAAATGGCTTCCGACGGGATTCGAACCTGCGACCTCTCGCTGTCAAAAAATAAATAGTAGCATATAATATAAATCAAGATAGCCGTTAAAAATAACACTGTTAAATTAGTATAAAAATCATCAAAGAAAGGTAAATACAGTGTTCGAATAAAG